TTTTGCCTTTTTTTAAGGCCCTTCGGGTCTTTTGCGCCCATTCTGGCCTGAGCCCGACAGCAGGTACTGGTTGCCAGCACAGATAGGGCCAAAGCATGGCATTAGAATGCTCCCTTTAATCAGGGGCAAGGGCAGTGCACAGAAATAAACAACTAGGAAGATGCAGCTGGTTTGGGGATTAGAGCAAACAGGCAGAAGAACTTGGTATCTCTCTGGCCCCAGTACTTCAGAGCCAACAAAACTTCCTCATGTTCTCTTCATCAGAAACTCTTGTTATTCAACAGTCATCTTAACTTCTCCCAAAAACCACTGGTGACTCTGCCTTTCTGCTCCCCTCTCCTTCTGAAGCTCTCTGTTTTAATTTGTTTGCATACTAAAGCTAGTAGCTGATAAGAAAAAGCAAGTTTCTGTGTCTGTCTGTTGGCTCTCCGGGCAGGTGACTGCCCTCACCTCCTGCCTGGCAGCTGCAGATAATACTCCAGAAAGTGTTTTCTGCACTTCCAGGGTAGCAGAGAGGTGATAGCTTTACTCAGCCTCCCAGCTCTTTTCCTATGAGTAGGAGCAGATGCTCCTTGCATTGAGAGAAATCACGGGAACAGTGGGGAGGTCCCTGCAGCTCTTGTGGGACCGAGTGCCTTGTGCTGTCCTTGAAGCACACTTGCTGCAGATATCTGGCTCCCAAACATCTGCATTTATTTCCTTGCCACATCCTTGACTTTAACATCTCCTTCTCCCCCCACCTGTTAAAAAGCAATGGCCTCTTGAAAGCATTGTCTTAATTCTCCAGTGGAAATGGTTGAAAATGACTTTTCTGAGGTGAAGAAGACTTGCTGCTTGAATCGTTGTGCATTTCTTAGATGGCTATTCACTTATGTGTCTACATTTTGTTGAAACAGGACATCAGTAATCACTTTATGTTCTTAAAGTAAAGGCTATACATAATGAAGCTTTGATGAAACTTTCATGTACAATTATGGATGACAAGTGAAATAATTTGTAGACCTAACTTTTTTTTCAGATGGTTAAGGTATGCTCTAGCATTCTGTTGGTTGATTAACATTTGGATAGCAGTGTTTGGAGCATTACGAAAGTGAAATTTTGTTGTTAATAATAAATCAGCAGCTGTAACGAGGGTTTGTTACATGTTTTGAGTGAATACCAGCCCCACTGAAGTCAGGGAGAATTTTACCATTAACTTCAATAAAATCAGAGTTTCATCCTCCTATTGTAAAGGACCTTTAACAGCCACGTCTAATCTTGTCAAAGACTCTGTTTGAGTGAAACTAATCCCATAGGGCTTTTATTAAGACAGAATGATGGTGGCGGAGGGAAGCTTTTAAATGCTTCTGTTGGAAAGAACTGCAGTTTGAGCAGTGCTTGTGCTGTGACAGAAAAATCCTGATTTAGAGACTGTCTCTAGCTCAGATAACTGTGCTGCAATGAGCACAGCAAGATTGTTCTGGAGTGACCATATTAAAAGGATTAGGCAGAGGCTGTTTCATATATGCATGCCAAGGCCTCCTTTCTCTTCTTCCAATAAATGCAAACTGGGAGTAATTTTGTTATAATCAGCTGTGTACACTAGGTTATGCAAAGGGTACCTAAGCTTTAACACTGTGTTAAAAGCCAAAGTGTGTAAATATCACCCGAGTGATACTTGAAGGAGCAGACCCAGATATCCATGTCTTTGTGACTCCTGGAGCTATGATCTGAACATACAGTTTGTACTGTGCACCTAGGAGCAAATCTGTATGCAGTGACCCATGCTTCCAGCCCCCAGAGTGTAAAAGATGGCTGCTGTGCTGCTTTTTTTTCTGTATGCAGTAGAAAATCCAGTCTCTTTGAACCAGGAGTCAATTTAGTGACTCTGTTGTTCAGGTCCTCATACAGTAATGAAAAACAGCTACCACTGGGCACAGAGTGCTCTGCAGAGATTCAGGGTGGTGACATTTATGCAGTGTATCAGAACCCACAGGCAAGGTTTCTGTTGCGTTGCCCATTACAAGACACTTCACAAGCCTCGGGTAATGCACGCTTCATAAGAAGTAGCTAGAAGGGTGTTCACTGAGCATTTTAAATTTACATAAGAGGCTCAGCTACATACTTTTTAAGAATAGCATGTAACAAATAGGTATAGCCAGTTCATTTATTCAAGATGGCCAGACTAGGAGTGGCCCTAGGATGGAGGCATGGAAAGAGGAAAAAAGCATGCAGATATCATTGATAACGAGCAAAAGGAACTTCTTCAGCCAAAGAATTCATGTTAATGAAAGGAAAGGCTGTACCCAAGCGTATCTGCAGCTGCTAAACTCAGTTTTCCCTACCCCTGGGCTAGACCCAGAAGACTGCACCAGGCACCATCCTTTTAAGGGATGTGCCACCTTTTGCTGGATGAGGAGTTCAGAGGGGGCGCAGGGGTAGCCCTGGCACCACCAGAGTCTTTGCAGCTTCTGAGGCAGGTCGTGGCAGCCAGGTGCCCTCCAGCCTTATGTGCTACCCTTTCATTTAAGACAGGCAGAAATAATTTCTGGAGGGATTTAATTAAGTTCCACTGGGTCACAGTCTCTGTGTGCCTTGTCTTCACTTCTCTTCCACATTTAGAGTTGAGGAACGTCTACAGCCTTCCTTATTACACAGAAGGGTTATTTCCAGAGGTGCAGGCAGCAGGATACAATTCATGGGACAATCAGATGAAACAGAAGGTCTTATTCATAATTCTGCATTGAAACTTCCTTCAATTCCTGATTCCACAGCTGCTCTCTTGTAAGATGGATATAGGGATCCCTTCCTTGGAGGTTAGCAGATGACAAGTATGTGTATTAAAATGTTGTCAAGCTGCAGCTTTTGAAACAACGTACTTGAACTGTTGGTAGACAAAGAGACAGGAGATGGACTGCAGTAAAACAGGTCAGCTTTCTTATAGCACTTGGAGCAAGGTTTCTGAATTTATCAAGAAAATTAAATTTGCAATGCTTAGTACAGAAAATCTAATGATGCACTGGAAGGATGGCAGCCTTGCTTTAAAGTACCCATTAGAGTGATTTTTATGAAAAGGATGCAAGTTCTGGAGGGGATGCTACTAGAACCAGCTTGTTAAGTTCATCCATGTAGCACTCTCAGTGACTCTGGCTTTGCTGGCTTTGGTGTCCAAGGGCAGTCTCCACTGCAGACGACTCCATATTTTAGTGATTTTTAAATTTCTTTTACAAAAATAAAGTCCAAGAACAGTTTTGCCTAAGGGCAGGTATCTCAGGCCTCAGTCATTTCTTTTCTGTATTGTCAGCTTCCTGTCTGTTCTTACTGAATGATACATTATCTCTGTTCTGAACTGATTTTTTTTTTCTTTTGCTTTATATATTGTATTATCTTTACCTTTTCTGTTTGCAGTTTGCCTTTTCCTTCCCTGTTTCCCAGCCCATCCTCATGATAGGATCTCTAGCCAATGATACTATTGCATTTCTCTGTGCTTATTTTGCCATTTCCAACTGTTGGTAAAGCTCCAGAGTTTCTGTGCATTGGCAGAGAGTGGAGCTGTTTCCCCCAATTTGTTGTCCATGTAGCTGGAGTGCCCCAGCAAGGCATCATTGTGTTGTATTGAATTGGACTGGCTGAATGCTCTGCCATCTGTACATGGACAGATTGTTACCCTTTACGATCCCTTTGGATAGAAGTTCTTGTAGCAAGAATGCTCACTTTGGTGTGCTAATATGAAGCGGTGAGTATATGTAGCCAAGAAGTATGGCTACATGCGGCTGTTGTGATAGGAAAGGGTACTTTTGCATTCTGGTAGTAGGGCGTTGTGGATTTCTTTGCAGATTTTTGCCCCCCAGGCAGCAGTTTGGTGAGGAACCAGGCTGCCCTCCAGCAGAGCCCTGTGTCACCCCAGCACTGGGCAGTCTGTGAGGCTTTGAGTGTCTTTGGTCTATCACCTCTGAGGCAGAATAGCAGCATAAAATGAGAAAGCCATAAGGGTATTCATAATGTAAAATGAGATTTGCATCCTCACTATCTGGAGCAAGCCATCTGTATTATGCAAATATCAAAACGGCCTAATCAAAACCAGGTTCTCATTGTGCTATGTGCTGTGTGCACCTAGAAAAGTAAGCTTTGGCTCTTGATATATTTGATATATTTGATATCGATATAACTGATATGGCACTGCTCAGAAATTTACCTTAGACTTTTCTTTGTGTTCAGCTTGATCTGTCAGTCATACAGAACATCCATAAGATATGTCTATTTTTTTCTAGGAGTTTTTCCTTCCCTACCCATACGTCCACTATAGCTCAAGAATTTCCATATAGTGGCAGGGCGGTCTGGGATAAAATTGTTTGCCCAGGCAATATGCCGGGGAAGATGACCCTGGTGTTTCTTCCTGACAAGGTGCACAGGTAATTCACAATCAGAGTGCCCCAATACCATGTGATTTCCACAAAAACTACTCGTAATACTATATAAAGTCGTATATAGAGAGACAGATATAGATAAGTAATTGACTTTATATACAACTTTTTATATAGATGTAAAATTTGTTTTATATGCTTTTATTTATAAATATTTATTTTTGTGTATTTAAATAGTTACTTCTATATATAAAGTCAATGCTTCTTTATGTCTGTAACCATGCTATACTCAGTAGTCAAATTCCTAGTCCAGTTGCAGTATCTACAGAAAGCAGATAAGAATAAGGTGCATGGCAGAAGCTCCAGCACAGGAGTTCCTTCACGTACTAATAAGAAAGAATGATCTTACCGAAGCAGCTTACATAAATAAAATCAGTTCATGTGTCTCAGTGTTACTAGATAAGGCCTACAGTATGCACACACAGTGGTCCACCTGGCTTAGCTCACATCAGTTTAACAGGGGGTTGCTGTGATTTAAGCAGGAGCAAGGAGCCTTCAGGAAAAGCTTGCTTGTGTCAGCACTCACGTATTGCGGTGGGAGGCCTAAAAGAAAGGCTGCAAAAAAAAATTATGTGTTTTCTTTTTACTCCCCCACAGATTGACCATCTCTGCTGAATGTCCCATGCAGCTTGAAGATTTCCCCATGGATGCACATGCTTGCCCATTAAAATTTGGAAGCTGTAAGTTGTCTTCTGAAATAAGAAGTGGAAAAATCCGGTTATCTGGCTTTTCACATTCAGCCATGTCTTGTATGAATTGTTCACCCTTCCTTGCCCCCCTTCCCCTTTTAACATTGCTCATTAGCACCCCCAGTCTGCCACCCCTGCTGCTACCCTGCTCCTTGTTTTCCATGAGTGCTTTATCTGGCTCTGCTGCTTTTCAGCTCATGCTTGCATGGTCCGTGATAAATGGTGAGCTGATGGGTGATATGTCTTCTATATCCACATCAAGCGTAACAGCCACTGTTAGATGGAGCAGTAGATGCAGACAGCTAAGCTGATAACTTGGTTTTACATTTGTAGAAAAATGGAGCGTTCATTGGACAATATCAGATTGATGTGCTATTGTGGTACTTGCTTGAATCAGACTGCAGTGCAATATCTACATCACATATATTAAAAGAGATCTGCAATATTAAAAGAGGAAATATCTTTCCATTTGGCTTTAATAAATCCAGTCCTGTATCTTGTAACGTGATGTTGCATACACATGTATTTGTATATATGCACACATTATTTTAAACTGTATGCTAAACGATGATTTTTCCTCAATTTCAAGCCTCTAATCCACCACACTGCTGCCTTGCCAGAAGCTTACTTTAAAAATAACCTCGGGGATCAGATGGTTATATCTAAATACAAAGCTCTTAATTAAAGTACAGATGAGGCAGTGGGCATTTTTTATTTTGGTAATCAAATCAGAGGTTCCAGGTGCAATCGGTGTCTCTAAAGACTTTTGAAAATTACCAAGCAAGGCATTTTGCTAGTCCCTGAAGCCACCTAACTTCAGCATTTTTCAATGTTTTTTCAGTTGTATCAATTTAGAGTCACTAATCCTAGCAAGATTAAGCTTCGCCTTTATCGTCTGTATCTGCCCTGGTTTGATACTGGCTATGCATTGTCTTCTAGTTGATCATATTAAGAAGTAAAAACACTGTTTACAGTGATGATTACCAAATTACCAAACTTAAGATGAACTGATTTCCCTTCCCTCTTCCAATCCAGATAGACCCAGTTTCATCTGAATAGCCAGCAGTATTTTACAAGGTCACTGGAGGTTCAAGTGTGTCCATTTACTTCAGCAACATTAATTTACAGCAAAGCCAATATAAATCTGAAGGTCTGTACACCTTTACACTCAACTTAAAAAATTATATGCAAACCATCCATTTCATTCCAAACTTGAAAATGGGAAAACATCTCACAGGAAAGTGTTATTATTTGTATATAAGGTTGAACAAAAGCTACTGGAAAGTATTAAGATGAAAACGAAAAATAAGTTGTCCTTCCTGGTATTACATATTCTTTACTGTATTGATGGATAAAGTTGAAGTCACACCTGTTGGTCTCTAGTGCAGACTATAGAACTGGGATGTTGGGTAGTTTTATGAAATCTTGCAAAATATGGAATATAAAACTAAAAGATACATATTTAAACAAAGAGCCTAATGCAGCAGAGATCTGAAGCTCAGCCTTGAAGTGAAATGGATGGTTCAATGCATTAGTAGACTAGGTGCAGTAAGGTACAGGTTCTAACCCTCCATATAGTAAGACTAAAAAAAAAAAAAAAAAGACCACCCAAACATGCAAGTGCAGGAGATAACATTACTACATAAGCTACAAACGCTTAGAAGAAGTGCAGTCTTCAATAACATCGAATAAAACCCAACAATCTGTCTGAATGCAATTATATGTTCTGCTTGTGCCAAATGTGTTACATATGAATCACCTATTAGCACACAGGTAATTTTAACCCGGGGAAAACCCAACACTGAAAAGTGGTATTTTAGGCATGTGAGGGCTGAATATGGTTTTAGTTCATGCTGCTTGCCATGCTCAGTATACAATCCTAGCATATATTTTATAAGCTACTCCAAGTCACCTTTAAGTTCTTCCCCAGTGTATAGACATGGAGCCATTTGGCCTGTGCTAGTCCACACTGGTAGCCTCTGCAGTAAATAAGTATATAGGGGCAAGCTACAGACAATCTTTCAGCCTTGGGAATATCTGTATTACTGATCTGACAGCTCATTAGTAATTTATTGTGTTTTAATATGCAGATGTTTGCACGAGTAGCAGCCAGTAAGTCAGGGTTTATTGAATTAGCCCAGATATATTTTAGGAGAATACGGTATTTACTCCCTATTTACAGCAATACAGCTTTGCATTAAGTCATCTTCAGGCTTGCAGCAAGACAAAGCCTAAAGGGGTATATTACACACAAGCACATGCCCTTTCTGCTTTAGCTTTCCTCCCTGTCTTTCCCCAAAGCATTTCTTTTTAATGGTCTTCTTTCCAAGAAGGATTTTGAAAAGCCTCAAGGAATAGCATCAAAGTAAATGTTAAACACATTATCAATAGAGCTGGGAGGGTGGACATGAGATGAGTCCTAACTGGTCAGAGGGTGGAGAGAGCAGGGCAGCGAAACAAAGCAGCCGGTGTACGGGCTGATTGGCAGCAGAAAGGATGCCAAGAAGCGATCGGTGCTGCATCAGAGACAGGAGCAGGTTATTATTTTTCTGGCTGCATGAGCATTCACTGCACTTGCTAGAATTCAGCAAGCAAAAGAGAAAAAGCCCTGACATTTCCTTCAGTATTAAAGAGAAGGAATGTTAATCTTGCTCACAGAAATAAAGGAAAATGTTGAATTCTTATGTCCCATTTGACTGGTTTCTTGCTATATTAGCATTGTGGGAAATTTTATGGGCCTAGGCAGCATTATATGTAGCAACAGAATACTGTGTAGAAATAACTAAAAGCAAGGTCGAATATGGGAAAAGGGATATTAAGTTAAATGCACACACCACCAGCCTAGATACCCGCCAGGCAGTTCAAGTGCCAACTACAGAAGTAATACTTCTTAATGCCCTATGGCACATCATGAAAAGCTATGCTGGCTAGAGGCCAGAAGTTCAAGGACAGCTTCTAATGAAGTGACCAGAGCAGGTTCTGGTTGTCTGCCTCTTAAGTACAATGCCCCAGTGCTCAGAGATGGCAGGATCAGTTGGGTCTGCTCCAGGAGGTGCGTGTACACGGGTACTGTCCCTCCAGGCTTCCGTCCCTACTGGTGATAAGGCCACCTGTAGAATTCATCCCACAGAAATCTCAGTTAGAGGAACAAGAGAACTGGGGGTGATGCACAAACACAGGCTCTCGGGTCTCTGCAAACAGGCTCCACTCCCTTCAAACCAGGGGTGCTCAGTGGGGATGGCCGTAGCAGTCTGTTCATTACCTCACGGGAGCATGGGAAGGATGCTGTTTTCTTCCATGGCCGAGTTTAAAATAAAGTTTCCGTTGCAATTCTAGTGCTGACCCGTACTCTAAATAAATTTGCTGGTCAAACAAGATCTGATGAAAATTCCTGACACCAGCCACAGTTTTGCTAGCAGCGTCTTAGCCTAAGAAGTTCCTCCTTACCCCCAAGCTATTTCTGGTGTGGGGAGGAGGAATTAGGTAAGACAACAAGGACATTAAAGCTAGGAAGCTTTAATGTTTCACCTCTTCCACTGATAGGCCTTAAGAGTACATTAAAAGTATCGTTTAGTACAGTTTCCAAACACCCATGTGTCACTGGGTGGGTAAGCATCATTATCTCTAGGGCAGCTGAGGCAGAGAAGTTAATTGACTTTCCGTAAGGTCACGCAGCAAATCAATGTCAGAAGAAGGATTAGACTCAACTTCTTTGGTTGGAGAGACAGATGTCTAATCCACTAGACCATGAAGGCCTCTGCCCAAGCAACTGACTGAACTCCTAAATCTCATTTTACTCATGCGTTAATTATATCGGTTTTACCTAGCTCACAGAGTTGCCCTGAAGTTGAATTAGTTAATTGCTATTAGTGAACATTAACCAGTGCTTTGACAATGTCAAATACTGTAAGGTGGAGTCTATTTATGGCAACTGTCTCTTGAAGGCACAGAGTCTGAGTACATGCAGTTATCAGATCTTGTATTGTGGAACAGATAAATGCATGAATCTGCTGCCCACTAGTCACTCAGCTGCAAAAAAACCCTACTATTTTTAGAGTAAGTAGTGAGTCTAATGAATATTCTGAAAATAATGAGATCCCCTAGCTCAAGAGCAGGGAAAAACAGGCCTGGCGTTTATTCCTGATGAATTTAATTCATCCACGTAGATGGCAAAGGTTGATCACTGCAGATCAAAAAGGGAATTTTCTGACTGTGAGAAAACAGCATTAGGTAAAATTTGTAGCGTGTGAAGGAAGTAGTTAACACAGTTATGTACATCTTCCTTTTTAACAGCTCAAACTGAGTCATGGTGTCTGCTGTGGTCTTTGATAAAGGAAAGTGTACAGGCTATTTTTGTAGCAGGAGACATGCCCAAACTATTTTCCTGTAGGAAGGCTGGTGAACTCAGAGTAATGAGGAGACAGTAACTTCACCAGTATCCCAGGATTTTACCGGAACACTTAACATTAAGGCACTCACTGTTCACCAACTATCCATGCTCCTACAGCCGCTGAGAAATTTCTCCAAAAAAGTATTTTAAGAAAATTCCCCTGATGAAGTTTCTCTATAATACTGAGAATTAGCCAAGATAGCACTGAGGCAAAGGCACCTACAGGGGGTTTCTTGATTTTGGGCTTCCCCCAATTAGCACCTGTGAAGCTGCAGGAGAACTGCAGGTGGGGAGAGAGAACTTCAAAACAGAGTCCCTCCAAACAGCCTCTAATTCTGGTTTAGTAAAATGTGATAAAGAATGCATTCAGCCTCTCAAAACCCGTGGGTACAAGTCTTGTATAAGCATATAACTAAATGAATGATAAATAAGGACAAATGTTAATTTTAGGACACTTTGAAAAGGGGAAATGGCTCTTTGGTGGGTTTTCCTGGCTTGCTCCCAGGGAGAGCTGGAACTGCAGTCTCATGTGTAGAGGCAGAGCTTTTCTGTTACTCGTCTCTATCAGCTGGCCAGAAGAGGCTCCTGAGTCCATTCCTGA